TTTTATAGACAAAAGCAATGCAGCAAAATCATAGAATTTATATGACTTGTTCCTGACTCAAACAGTGAGTGACAGAAACTTTTTATGAAGAGTTCAAGATGGTTTATCACCTTAGTTATTTAAATCTGTCTTCATTATTTCTTTACATTGCCTAGGCACTGCATCTTTGGGCTTGGGGGAAAAAATCTTGGATGATTTTAGGAATTAGGATACTTTCATCCTATGTACATTTCAATGCCTCTTTTTTCCAAGGAGTCTTTACCAGTGACATGGATTGAGGGCTTGACCCTCCAGGGCTGGAATCTATAGTCAGTATCTTCAATCCTATAAAATATTTATTGATTATGATAGTCATAAGTTTGAAGTGATAAAAAAATTGTTAATCTCTTTTACAACTTGTTGCAGTCATAGGTGATAAGGAAGGAAAGAAGGAAACAAGCACATGTTAAGTACCTAATAATGCAATATTATTACAAATATTATCTCGTTTGATCTTCACAATCCTGGGAGGTAGGTACCATTATTATTCCTGTTTTACAGATAACGAAATTGAGGCAAACAGAGGTTAAGCAACTTGCCCAAAATGACAAAACCAGTAAGTGTATAAACCCAGATTTGAGTTCAGATCTTGCTCACTTCAGGGATGGTGCTTGATCTGCTATGCCACCTACCTGCAAATGAGTGTGTCCATTTACCCAGGGGTAGAGTTGAGTTTATTCTTGAACCTCTCCCCAGTTTGGCAGCATGATCAATCTTCTCCTAAGATAACTTTGGGATGAGATTACTAAGAAGCAAGACTAATATAATGAGATGTTTTAAGAAGAAAGTTATCTTAGTCTTATATCTCATATCAAAAATATTAGTATCATACTTAATATTATAAAAAAGAGTGAATGAACTCTTACTTACCAAATTATAGTTTGTGTTTTTCATGATAAGAGGTCCCATGAATGGCCAATATATGCAAAAATCCAGTTTTAGTGTCTGAGCAGTGCCTTTTAAAAATTGTATTGATAACTTTTGTTAGTATATCAACTTCATTTTTTAGTATAACCTGCCACCCTCCTTTTGGCAGCAAGCCAGATAGTTTAAAAAGAAAGAAAAATCAGTTTAGCAAAAATAATACACAATAATAATAAAACAATAATATATGCAGTGTTCCACACCCATAGTCCCCCACCCTTACAAAAAGGGGGAGAAGTACATTGTCTCATCTCTTCTTCAGGGCTGTTTGGTAATTGTAATTAATACAATAAAATAATATAGTATAATAATTGTAATTAACACAGTATAATAATACATCATTGTGGAGTTTTTGGTTTCCTTTTATTGTTGTGGTCATTGTCTACATTGCTTTTGTGCCCTGCTTCCTTACCTTTGCATAGATTCATATAAATATTCCTATGCTCTGAGTTGCTTTTAAGAATAGAATTTTCAAGAACCTATAAAAGAAAATGAGAACTCACATATTGAGCCCTGTCACAATTTTTCCATGTGTTGTTTGTTAAGATTATCCAAAAGCAATGGCATTGAAAACACTTCTTAAATATAAAAACAGTATTAAAAATTTTTAATTAAGGAAAGAGAGCAGCCCCAAAATGTGTTACTTTATTTTCACCCAAAGTCCATTTTTCTTCCTTCAATTTTATCTCACTTGGATCTTTGCCTGATTTTGGAACTTGAGCATAAGGTTGCTCTATTCAGCAGATATATCTCAGGAACCACTCAGGGAATTCATTCAAAAGGTTTTGCTGATACTGCCAAGGGTTGGTGCTTGGAAAAGCAAGTTCTCATTGCAACACTTCATTTTGCTTAAAAAGTCTCCTCTCATAACTTGGGAAAATTTTTATTTTTTTCTCTTATTTTCACACATCTAGTTTTAGAGAATTTTTCACTAAGAAAAGGCTGAAGATTCATTCTACTTAGGATTCCTTTTGCATCAAACTTGTCTACCTGTGGCAATGCTTGTGAATCTAAAAAAATAAATGATCCACCATCTGGGCTATTAAATATACAAAATATGGTCATTCTAATGAAAATATAATTTAGATGTTACTGCTCTTGTAATATGTTATAAAGTTCTGTTATTAGAAAGAATAATCATACAATCATTTTTTTCCTCAAAGAATCTCCTTGATAAATGGAACTCTTGATTCTTCCTGAAGGTTTTCATATATAGTACAACCATTTTACTAACCTCATTATTTTCTTTCACTTTTAAATGAATCAATCTGCAAAACTCCTTAAAGTGTTTTATAATGATTGAGATTCACGGTATTTGTTACTTGTGGAAATATGTTTTGATGAACATTTGAGGGCTTTCCTCTTATTAACTTATCAAAAGTTTGAATAAAGGAACAACATTAACGTCAGGTATATCTGCTGACTTTAAAAATATTTCTTTTTCCTCAGTACTAACATGCCACAGTATAATCAAGACTCTAAAATAGAAAAAAACAAAAATACCTTTGAATTTCATCTGTAGTTGCCATCAAAGATTATCCTTATTCATGTAAGATGTCCTTTTTATTTCCTTCTGATTTTCTCAATAACCATTAAGAAGGTGATTCAGTAAAAGATATTTATATAAGAGCTAGGTGGGTCATATCTTACAGCAGTAGAAAAATTGTACACTAATTTAACCATTCATCATATTTTATAGCAAAGCAGCTAAAAAAAGAAGAGGACTAGATCCAGCCAGAACGGCAATTCTGTGGCATAGTGGAGGATTCTGGCCTTGGAGTCAGGAAGACCCGAGTTCAAATGCTGCCTCAGATACTTACTAGCTTTGTGAACCTGGGAATTTCACTTATTCTCTCTGTGCTTCAGTTTTTTCATCTATAAAACAAGGGGTTGGACTCAATGGCCTCCGTGATTCCCTTGTAGCTCTAAATCTATTAGCCTATAAAGTTAACACAACTTCTTTCACCTATACCAATATTTGTTACACAATTTCTATAGAATAGGATATGCCCCACCTAGCTCTGTATCATGTAATATTTTCAAGTGTTCCATTGATTTTCTGTCATGTTCAACTCTTTGTAACCCCATTTGGGTTTTCTTGGTAAAGATATTGGAATGGTTTGCCATTTCCTTCTCCAGCTCATTTTACAGGTGAGGAAACAGAGGTAAACAGGGTTAAGTGACTTGTCCAGGGTCACATAGCTAGTAAATGTCTGAGGCCAAATTCAAACTCAGGAAGATGAGTCCAGGCCCCACACTCCATCCACTGTACCATCTTGCTATCCCTATGTAATGTTACAACAAATAATCTGTCAAAAATACTTTTTCCGTTAAAGGACATTATCATCTATGCTTCCTTCCCATTCCTACAAAATGCAATTATTCACAAAAGGACTTGATCGTGCGCAAGGATGGGCTTCTTACTAAGAGCAAATTGGCACAACTGTCCATGCCAAGTGAGAGGCTATTCATAAATATGGCGTGCTATCTTATATCAAGAGATAGTCGTGAAAAATTATGTTGGTAACTCTGTGCTTCTTCCATAATATGATAAATTAGACATAGAAGGGATAAAATAACATTTATTTTGCTTTCTCCATTGCACTAGGAGATGGTTTTAATAGCATTGAGCTTCTTTCCTTTGAGCAGCCAATTTGACTACTGTCTCATGGAAGCTGATAATGCCACAGAGTGATGCTGCCCTCCTCTTGATGTCCCTATCTGTCCCAATGTAATGAATTCTGTATCAGAGCTGTCACTCTCAAATAATGAAACTGATACACTCTTACAGGGCCAACTCACTTTCTGCTTGTACTTTTTTTTTTTTAACTTTTGGCTTGAAGAAGATAAAGGTCTATTAGTTCAAGGGAAAGACACTACATAGGTACAAAATCAACTTTATATGGCCTGGCCATGGACTTCTGCTAAGAAGGAGCTCTCACATTATAGGTAGCCTTGCAATGCTGAACTTGAATGGCAATGTTTGTTTGTTTGTTTGTTTTTAATGACCCCAATGGAAAAACAGGCATTTCCTTGATGTTAAGACTCAGATCAGCATGTAAGATTAGGATTTATTATAATCTAAAGAAAAGCAAGCTCTTTAATTAAGACACTAGTCTTTTGTCTGTCCAAGAAAAATGATGAAATATTGATATTAAATATGACAGTAAAAGACTTTTTTCTCTTTAATAATTAGCATATGTTAACATTTTAACTTTTCCTTAATAATCAGATGATATTTGTCCTAAATTTTCTTATAAATAAAATGCTCAGAACTGAGGATTTTTTAATCAGTTAAGTGTAGAATTATTAGTAGAAATGTTTTGCTAGGTAATCTCTCATGTGCTTTCAGAGGCAAAATTTAGAGACTTACATAATAAAGATGTTTTTAAGGTGTTTTAGTAACTGAAACTAAGTAACTTTTAAAATATGCACTTTAAGTGATTATTAACAACTCAGGGCAAACAGCATGTAATTGTTTTATTCTGGCCTAATCAAAATGGTTACATGATTATTTTGTCTTTCCTAGAAACATAAATGAGACCAGGGATTTTTCTAAGTAAATTTTTCCAAGTAAATCACTCTGTTATTAGAAAGAGTGTACTTGCTTGTATTTCATCCTTGTTATGCTAATTCCTTTGAATTTTTAAATCCAATAAAAGCCATATGAGAGGAAATAAGGGGCAGAGTCACCTTAACTCTGTGGGTTGCTTCATGCACAAGATTTCATTGCCACAAATGGAGCCACAGAAAACTTCTCTGAGTGGTTCAATCATCCTGTAGTTTGCTTCTTCGCTTGCTGTAAGTACTAACCCAAACAAATTATTTTTGTTAACTTAAAACTTATCTCTATTTCTAATTATGTCTAAAAGATGTAGACATGATTAGTAACATTAATTTCTTGGAGGTACAGTACATAATATTGGACACCTACTCCCTCTTGTGTTTAGGGTCTTTGATGTCTACTAAAAGAAAGGATGTGAGAAGTTTCAAGGAAATTTTGCAATGACGTTCTGCATCATATTTTTCTTCCGCAGTGGGATGGCGTAGGACCTCTGCCTGACTGTGCAGAACCCCCAAAAGGAATCCAGATGCTGTGGCACCCTTCAATAGTCAAACCCTACCTCACACTTCTTTCCGAGTGCTCAAACCCGGACACTCTAGAAGGTGCAGCAGGTGCCCTGCAGAATTTGGCTGCAGGTAGCTGGAAGGTATGACCTATTACTCACAAGAAAATGTCTGAATTTGTAACTAATACTTAGGAAAAAATTAAGATCTAGATATGGGAAATGTAGCAGTAATTCCACAAAATGAACATAGTTTAATCATTTAAAAAAAACTATTTTGAAAGGCCAATTGAACTCAGTTTTTAAACTTAAGCAAATTTATATTAAGTATTTCTCTTAAGAATCCATTAAATTAGGGAGGAAGGGGTAGAATTTGGATCTCAAAATTTTTTTTTTAAATGTTAAAAATTGTTTTAGCATGTAACTGGGGAAAAATAAAATATTTTATATATACATATATATATATACACACATACATACATACATAAAGAATCTATTAAATTGTTCAGAGATACTTAAAGGTAGCCAGTATATGAGAATTAGTCACAGTTTGTTTAAGTATAGTGATAGAAAAATAGTGCAATTTGCTTTAGATTGATTTTTGTAATTATACTAACAATAATTCACTTAAGTAACCATAACTTCATAGTATTTTTGAAACATTGTTCATTACTGTCAAAGGAGGGAGCACTTGAATATATAATTTTATGGTTTGCTAAGCCCTTTTATATGCATTATCTCATTTATCCTTCACTATAACCCTTTGAAGTAGGTACTGCAGGTTTTATTAATCCCAATTTACAGATAAAAAAACTAAGGCTCAGAGGATTGAGTGATTTGTCCATGGTTACCTGGCTTATAATAGTCAAAATCTAGATCTGAACTTGGGCATTTCCTGACTCTGTGCCTAACTCTATAAGTAGTGAATCTGTATTTGATCTTACATCCATTATGTCTCTTCCAGAAGGAAATGAATATAGTTTGTTTTAAAATAATGACAGATGGAAGGTCAAGTCAATAACATTTATTAGACACTTACTATGTGCCAGGCACTGTGCCACATGCTGGAGATATAAATAAGAGCAAACAGAAAGTCTTGCCTTCCAAGAGTTTACATTCTAATGGGCGAAGACAACATGCTAAAGGAAAGTTTAAAATTAGTGGGGTGGGGCTAGTAAAGAAGTGATACTCCTGGTCATCCATACTGACAGTTTAAAGTCAATGAGGAGAATAAGTAGAATGGAACCAATTCGCTGAATTTCAGAGTTGGGATGGAGCAGTCATTTAATCTAATTCTTACCTTTAAAAAGGCCTCCCTCTATGATATGGCTAATGAGTAGCAATCCAGCCTTTGTCTGAAGACCCCCAGTGAGGAAGACCCTATGATTTCCTGTAGCAACCCATTCTGCTTCAGGGTTGTTAGCATTTTTCTCCCTGACATCAAACTTAAATTTGCCTTTTTACAACTTTTACTCATCACTCAATGCTACCCTCAAGGGCCAAACAGAAGAGGTCTAATCCGTCTTCCACTCGACAGCCTTCAAATACTTGAAAACAGCTGCCATATTCCTCCTGAGACTTCTGTTCTCCATGCTAAATATCTCTAGTTTCTTCAACTAGTTCCTCAATTTATATGGCATAAACCTGGGGCACTTCACCGTAATGGTTCCCTTTCTCTGGACCCTGTCCAGCTTATCAGGCCATTTTGACAAAATGTGGCGCCCCATAATGAACCTATTGCTTCAGATGTGGTCTGAATGGAGCAGAGAACAGCAGAACTGTTGTCACCTCCTTTAACCTGGATTTGTTTTAATGCAGCCTCAGATCACATTAGTTTTCTTGGCTGTCTTAGCACATTGTTGCCTCATATTGAGCTTTCAGTCCACTAAAACTCCTGGGTCTTTTTCAGAGTAATTGTTGCCTAACCATATCTCCTCATTCTCTACTTGTGAAGAGAATTTTGGGCACCCATATGCAACCTTCTTAAATTTCGTTTTTTTAGATTTGGTCCAATAATCTAGCCTGTTAGGATCTTGTTGAATCCTAATTCTGTCTTTCAATATTCCTGCCAACTTTGTGCTATCTACAGGTAACCATGCCCTCTATAATATTTGTTATTGGAACCTTCTGAGTTTTTATCTGTTGTTGTTTTTTTTTTCTCCTTAATTATATTGATGAAAAATACTGGTATAGTGGAAAGAGCACTGGACTTAGAATCCAAAATCCTAAGAACAATTTCTAGCTCCTCTGGTACTTACTGTTTATATAATATTGGTCAAATCACCTAATTGCCCTTGACCTCACTTGCCTTACCTCTAAAATGAAAATGTTGTAATAGATGACCTTTTAAGTTTCTAATAGCTCTTTGTAAATAAATAAATAAAATTTATAGATATGCACACACACATGTGTGTGTGTATGATTTTCTGTGGGATAAATATAAAGTTGTCTGCCACTAAAAAATCTCCTTATTTAGTAAGAGATAATTATTGAAAGTAACGTAGTAATTAAGTAGTCTAAAGAAGGGTGTTCCATATAGGCACATGGAAAAAATATTAAAAGGGGGAAAATTTGCCTTATTTCCCTAGGATTTGAAGGTATCCACAAATTGTCTTTTGCCTGGACAGACATTTATCATTTAAATATATATCTGTTACCTAGACTTAGTAGCCCAATACTGCAGTCATAGAATATGTCTAGCATCCTTCCGCTCACATGCTGCATTCTGGGTCCTTGTCAGTCATCTTGACCTCTGTTTTGCTACTGGCTTCCAATAATTGTGGAGGAGAGAGTGAGGCTGATGACTTTGTGCAGCAATGCCTCACTTAAATACAATTTATGTGCAAGACATTACCCTCATGATGTCATTGGTCCTCTTCAAGAATAAAGGACGAAAAGTGGCAACTATTGCTCTCCTTTCACTTTTCCCCTCAGCTTTGTTTTCCCTCTACTTTAAAAAAAGAAAAAACTTCCTTAGGAGTCCTATCATATTGCCACTTTATTTTATGATCACAGTTATTTTACTTCTCTGTGCTCACCTCTGTGATTCTGTTTTTCTGGTAACAGTCTAGCTGTTGAGGATATTGATCAGATTGACTCAGAGGATTGGACCAGAAAATGAGTTTCATTGAGACTGATGTACCATATTGTCATAATTTGTACAACCTTCAATTCCTGAGTCCCTCAGAAGCAAAAATGACACATCCCTTACCTCCCTGAGTGGAAAACACCCATGCTGTGGGTCCTATAGATTCTATGCTAAGAAATTAAGGATGGCAGAATGGGCTAATATGCCCAATTGCCTCACCAAAAAAAAAAAAAAAAGAATGGGCTAAAACTCACCTGTACTTTTTATGTAGGTAAGGCATCTTGATGAAGTACATCATTGGGCAAGGATATACATCTCTATTGATTCAACTGCTCAGAATGGTTTTTGGATTCTCTACACTTCTCATCTTAAAGTTCTCAGAACATATTAGGAAACAAAACAGAACCTTAGCATTCTTGGACACCTATCAAAATTACTTTAATTCATTGTTGATACTACCTCTGTTACAAATCACTCAATTTTCCTTAGTGCAACTTACTTCAAATATTCAGGGATTTTATTTGCATTTTGAAATGATATCATTTTTCCTGAAAATGCACATCTACAAACCAGATTAGGCTTTCAATTTATCTAGTTTTCCATTTGTTTCTTGACAAAATACCTGATTTTTTTCCTTCTTCTCTGGTCCCAAAAAAGCACTGACCTTCATAGAACTAGGAACAATAGAGCACTGAAGAGAAAAATTAAAGGAATGGATATTAATATAGCTCCAGTTTATTTTCAAGGAAATGCCAGCATCACTTATTTTTAAATATCCTGCTGTCAACATTTCTCCTATTTTGTTTTACTGTGGAACCATTTTAAGACTGAAAATATATGCTAATCCCCATCAATACTCTGCAAGAATTAAAAATGAATATGGGGGGGTAAATTATCCCCACTGGTGAAGGCAACTTGATGATTTCTTGTAAAGATGGGCCCTTATAGATAGGTCTTGTGACATTGCCTTTAAGCAAGAGAGTCAATAGCTGTTTGTTGACATTAAAAAAGGGAGCACTGAAATAGATAAATGAATTCCATGGATCATTTCCCTAACTAGGCCAGGACCATCACCATATAAATATTCATACTTATTTTCATATGCAATGTTGTTTCTTTTTCAAGTGAACTAGGGGTTAGAGGTAGGATATATTTTTCTACTTCCTGCCCTGAATGATTACAATATAACAAGGTGTCAATCAATAATTATGATATTAAGGAATCTCCTAATCCAAGTATTATTATCTCCATTTTATAGATGAGAAAACTGGGCCCATAGAGGGTGACTTGCCTAAGGTCACACAGTAAGTTCCCATCTCAGTCACTCAAATCCAGAATCCCTCAAAATGTGTTTTTATAATAAAAGCAGGAATTTGGTTGTTTTGTTGTCTTTTTATTGATCTTTAAAATTTAAGACCAAGACCAAAAGTGTATCTCCAATTTAAAATCCCAAAGTGTGGCATGCTGGTAGCACTTTACAAATATTCTTATCTGAAGACTTTTATTACGTAGAAGTAGACTTTGTATATTATAGTTTAACTATAAAGAAATGTCTTTATAACATTATTGTGCATCTTAAAAGCTTTTAGCTTTTAAATAGTAATAACAGGCTGTGAATATGATAGAAATATGATGGCATTATGATAGGGAAAATGGTAAATTTTCTGTTTAGAACTGATAGGGATTTCAGTTCTATTCACTTTCCCGTCTTTGGTAGTCATTTTCTGTTTATCTCAGTATCACACCAGCAATATGATACTGATAGTTATGCAGTAGAGCTTGAATAAATATGATTTTAACTGTAATATATTGGTTGTATTTTATTGTATTTACAACCTCTGCTATTAAAAGCTTAAAAGTGGACAGGAACTTTATTAAAAACCTCAAATTAGCCCTATGAGAAACAAATTTATTTTACCCAGGTAGGAGACAGCAAAAAAGAAACTTGTAAGAGCATACCTCTAGACACCTACATATAATGAAAAATTCCCCCCTAATTTATGTTTACAAATCTATTTTAACCAGTGGCTTTTTCCTTTCATGGTATGATAACATT